AAGTGCTAAATTAATATGAAAATTGATATTCATAATTTATATAAATAAAATTTTTAATCTAATGATTAATTTTTGATAATATTAATTAAAAAATAAGTTTTTAGATAAACACCTTAAAAAAAACTTTTAGGAAAGTTACATACATTACACTAACTTCTTTTATCTTCTTTTAGCCCTGTTTAAAAGTTTTTAGTGGGCATGATAGAACAGTAGAGAGGACAAGCTTCACAAGTTATGATCTGGCAATTGAAAGGACTGAACAAAAAACAATTCATTAAAAAAATAAAGTCAAGAGTTCCTATCTTATTTTATTTATCTATTTCAAGAAAATTCACAATTAATAGTTGATATGTGACAACCAATAGTTGATTATAATCCAGTCTTTTGTGGAAATCATAATTAATAAGAACTAGCATGAGAAATCTCTAATGAATGTGATGGAAAGAGAATCTTATGATTTATAAACATTTTATTGGTTAGAATACTACTAATGTAGTATTCCATTATTGTAATGAAGAATTCTTCAACTAGAAGACCTGGAATAAGTTAAGGTTTTTTGGAATATTGGAATATATATTAACGTGTGGAAAATGTAGAGAAGAAAGTGAAAAATTAATTGCTCTAATACTTGATGAAAATGAATGAAAGCAATAGGAGAAAGGGGAAGTCATCATTGGGCTAGAAGCATGTGGTGTGGGTTTAGTATATTAACGTGTGGAATAAGTTAAGGTTTTCTAGAATATTGGATTATATATTAACATGTAGAAAGTGTAGAGAAGAAAGTATTGTGACATGGAATAAGTCAAGGTTTATTGGAATATTGAACTATATATTAACGTGTGAAAAGTGTATAGAAGAAAATGTGTAAAACCATAATTAACATGTAAAAAGTATAAAGAAGAAAGTGAAACATTAATTGCCCTAATACTTGATGAAAACGAATGAAAACAAAAAGGGAAGGGGAAGTCATCGTTGGGCTAGAAGCATGTGGAATAGGTTTAGTATATCAAATTAATTGGATTTTTATTCATCGAAAAAAGATTGAATTTTGAATAAAAACAATGCATAAAATCATGTGAATGTTGATAGCAATTTGCATTTCTTAGTCATTATAATGTATACATATTGATGGAAAGGGTTAAGTTGTAGTTATTTCACTCTAAATGAAAATAATTATTACAAGAAAGAGAAGTCAATGTTGTAGTAGGGACATCATGCATTAGTACACCACGGAAAATGCAGTTAAATATTCATAATTTGTTTGTTATTTTTTTTATTTTTTATCCTCTCACTATATTATTTATTTTTAGTCACTCTTTGCACCTCTAACAATTATTACATCATTACGTATCTTTTTTTAGACACAACTTTTTAATTCCATATAAAACTATAAATTGTGTTTCTATTTTCTTTTATTACTATTATTATATATCATTATTTATCGATTATTAAATATTTATTTTCTTTAAAAATAAATTGTGATTAAATTCTAAGTTATTGGATATAAAATTATAAATTAAAATTTTCATCTAAGCAGAGTTAATTGAGCTTCAACTTTCTTAATAAGTTTTCTTTAAGTGATTCATTATTATTTAAGATTGTATGAAGATTTACCAAATATTTTAGAAGTTTCATTACATATTTATTTAGAATTTTAGGGAGATTTATTGAAAATTTTATTAAGAATTTTAGATATCTTATAATTTTTTTAGATATTCATTAGAGATTTATTAAAGTTTTAATGATTTTTATAATATAGTATATAAAATATAATATTGAAGATATATATGAAAAAATTATTATGAAAATA